TCTCTTCCTTCCTTCCTTCCTTCTTCCTTCCTTCCTTCCTTCCTTCCTTCCTTCCTTCCTTCCTTCTTCTTTCTTTCTTTCTTTCTTTCTTTCTTTCTTTCTTTCTTTCTTTCTTTCTCTCTTTCCCTCCTTCCCTCCCTCCTTCCCTTTCTTTCTCTTCCTTCCTTTTTTCCTCCCTTTCTCTTTCTTTTTCTTTTTCTCTGTCAATATCTCTGTCTGTCTCTCTGTCTCTTTGTCTCTGTCTCTGTCTCTGTCTGTCTGTCTCTTTCTCTCTCTCTCTCTCTCTCTCTCTCTCTCTCTCTCTCTCTCTCATCCTCCTTTTCATGTCCTGGTCTCCCTCTTTCTCTCTTTTAGCTCCTGAAGTACTCTGTAGAGTTGTACTGCCTTTGCAACTGTTTTATCTCTTCCCAAATCCAGTGAGAAGGACTAGGAGAAAAGGGGAGGAACAGGAAAGAAAAAAAAGAAGAGGAAGGGAAAAAGAAGGAAGAGGTAGAGGAAGAAAAGAATAATTTCAATTCCCTAATTTTCCTTTCATCCTTGGCAAAGACAAAATCTCTAGTAGTCTTGAGGCTAGGCTGACATGTTGAGAACTGTGTCCATCATCTCGGGAAGGTGTTTGCCATGTACATTTGCCCTGGATGTTATGAGATCTACATGCCTCTCCCTGAGTCACAGTCTCTGCCCATCTCCTAGATCTGTCATCCTGGAAAAGGGTGGAGGCTCCACAAACCAAAGGAAAATCATTTCACTCTGTTAAGTGCTAAGGTAACACAGTGTACCTGGGACAAATTCCCAATCCTCTTTACAATGGGAAGGGAAACACAGGGGAACTCAGTGTACCATTCCCATACCAACCATTTTCTTGTGGCATGTATTCAGATCTTAGACCATCAAGATCATGTCATGTAATTTCCCACAAAGAACAGTCCCTTCCACTTTTTAAAAAGTCAATTAGACAGATATATAGCTATGTATTAAATGCCAACTATGTGCAGATCACTGTGTTAGGAACTAGAGTTGTTAAAAGGTTTAGACAAGGTGTGGGATCATAGGAGCATAGATTAAGGGGACCTTAAAGGTCATCTAGTCTAACCACTCTCATTTCATAGATGAGGATACTGAAGCCCAGAGAGGTGGAGTAATTTTCCCAAAGTCACACAGAGCTAGGCAGAGCTAGGATTCAATCTTAAGTCCTCTGAACCCAAATCCAGTGCTCTTTGCACTCTACTAGCCCTGCCCTCATGTTCTGAGTGCTCAGATCATAGTGGTGAGCCTAGACACCAGAGTAATGCTTTGGTTCTCCAGTAGCTCCTCTGCCTAGGTGGGGCTGCTCAGAGTAAAAGCAAGTATTAGCTTCTGACCAGTTAGGGAATCTGCCTCTTGTTATTATCCAGGTATGGGGGTGGGGAGGGGATGGCTCAGAACCGGGCAGTGGCGATCCAGCCTTTGGAAACTCTGCCCAATTTTCACAGTCTCCTTTCAGGTGGCCATCCAATACCACCCTTCAGTACACATCGTCCATCTTCAGGATCACCTTTGTTACCACTTCACTTCAAAACCACATGACATTAGAGCTGGAAAGGATGTAAGAAAATTTGTTCATGAAACCTCATTTTACAGATGTGGGGAACCAAGGCAGAAGTGAAGGGACTTACTCAAAGTCACATAGGAGTTGGTGGAAAAAGTGGGACTACAGCCCAGGTTTCTTGATTCTCAAGCCAGCTCACTTTCCATTCTGTCATGTGACTAGGTTTGACTAGACAGCATTCTCTCTCTCTCCCTCCTTTTCTCTCTCTCTCTCTCTCTCTCTCTCTCTCTCTCTCTCTCTCTCTCTCATTCTCTCTCTCATTCTTTCACACTCTCACTCTCATTCTCTCTTTCTCTCTCATTCTCTCTTTCTTTCATTCTCTCTCATTTTCTCTCACTCTCATTATCTCTCTGTCTCACTCTCACTCTCATTCTGTCTCTCTCACTCTGACTCTGTCTCTCAGTTTGTTGCTCTCTTTCACTCCCTATCCTCACCCTCACCTAAAGAATACCATGAGAAAGTTTCAATTCTACCTGAGGCATGCTCCTCTCTTCCACAGGTCAGCAAGTATACTTCTTTGAGAGGCCCCCACTGTCCTTTCAAGCATGGCCATAAAAACTTTCTATGCCGCAATGTCATGCATTGACCAGTAGGTGGCTCTGTTCCAGAGTGCCCCCTGCATCCCTTCCCAAACCTGGAGCATCTCTGGGTTTATTATTTCAAAACGTTCAAGGTTACTGCCTTCGAAGTGGTGCAAGAAGCCCTTCGGTCTATTATGTTCATTCTCCATGCCTATCCAAGACATTCGGGATGAGGATTTAGGGTAAGGACTGCAAGGAAACATCCCAGTCTGATAAAGAATTCCTAGGCATCCCAGAAAATCAACAACTTCTGACCGTCCTCTGGGCAGGAGCAATCCTGGGTGCAAGGGCAGGACTAGAAGCAGCCTAAGCCTATTGTGAGGAGCCTGGAGCAGAACTGACTAGAGCAATTTTTCCCTGTGGTCCTTTAAAGTATAGAGAGCACCTGATGCTTCCAGGGCAGAAAGCAAGAAGAGCACTGGTTTGGGGGGAAGACCCAAGAATGAGGTGGGTCTCATATAGGTCCCTATCAGAAGAGATTAAACTGCCCTCGTGGATTCTCCAACTTTGGAAAATGAAAGGGGCCCTCAAGCACTCATGCAAGATGTAAGAGAAGAGCAGAGATCATCTGAAGTGAGGAGGGTTGTCTGTCAACTCCTGGAGACTAGGGACAGTGCCTTTTATACTTTTGTTTCTTCTGTAGCACTGAGTATAATAGGTGAGCTCCATAGCAGACAAAGCCAATGATCAGTGAATGTTTGATGATTTACAACTCATATTTGATTTCAAATATTGCTCCTAGAGAGGCTAGAGAGTTCTGGGAAATGGGTGGAGCTCACCAAGTAGGAAGACTGATATATGGAAGATAGGCTGGGCAAGAGTAAGGGATGGTGGAGAGACAGCCCACATGTTCCACTGGTTCCCAGATGATGTCAAGAGAACTCAAACAAGTCCCCCTTGGTGTACTTACAGGCATCCTTGGGCAAGAGTCCTATAGGATAGGCAAACATGGATGCATTGTGATTGTTATCATTGGAGAGAATATCTCATCAAGGAGATCAAAGGTCCAATAGGAGTACTGGAGAGAATCCATCTGCTACAGCAAATAGCACCCCACCACCACCACCACCAAGTCTTAATAGACAGTCTTCATGAGTTGCAGCAGCTAAAAAGTTAATCACCCTATGGGCAATTTGGTGAAGAGCTTCCTCAAACCCTCCACATTAGCTAAGTTGGCCACAAAATACACAGACCATCTCTGGATGTGCACTCAGTCTTTCCCTCCAGGAAAGGACTTGACCTCCAGAACTCATGCTCTTGTGGCATAGCCCTTGGGAGCCCAGGGTGAATGAACGACATAATCTTACTTAGCCAAGCTGCCTAGTCACTCAACCAACGAGTGAGTGTTAGGTGTTGATGGTCTTCCCAGCACTCTCCTGGACACTCTGAGAGGTATACAGGAGAAGTCTGAGCAATGGTTCTTGCCCTCAAGCAGCTTTTAATCAAGTCCAGGAGATAAGACTAACATGGGAAACATCAGTGAACAATATGACAGAGTATAATGAAATGCGGAGTTATTTGGCTTAATTCATTGTTTGGATAGCTGCCAGTTACTACAAAACCCCCATCATTTTAATGAGCTCATTCATCACCCTGCAGGGCAACTAATACATCCCACAGCCTTGCGGCGCCCATCAGCCTTCCACAGGAAAATGGGAGGCATAGCATGGGTTCTGCCTAGATTCCCATGAACTCTCAATTTTTCAGCTCCATTCACAGTTGTAGGGGGGATAAAAGGGGCAAATTCAAGGCCAGGGCTCTTAGTGAGCCTGCCCCCAAAGGCACCAGAACAATGCTTCAGAATCAGAGGGGAGAGGGATGGATCAGCGTGAGCCCAAAGTGTCTAAATGTGCACTCTTCGACAAGTCACTTCCTTTCTTTGGAACTCCGGTCTCTCTTCAACAAATGAGGGTGTTGGGCTGGGTGATCTCTCAGGTCCTTTCAGTTCTGACAGTCTGTCAGTCCGTCCATGAATTCAAAAAGAGAAGGAAAGCCATGGACAGAAGATGCAGCCAATGTATGTCGTGTGGGGAGGAGGGAGCTTCTAAGTTTTCCTGCCTATTGAAAGAATCTCCAGAGAAAATTTCATACCAATAAAAGTTAAAAAAAAAAAGGTAGAGGTTGAAATTCCCCAAACTGGGAAAGTTCACAAGTGAATCTTCTCTTCTGATGTGATTCTTCTGGATGAAGGAGTCCCAAACACACCCCACAGATGCACCAACTTGCCCCTGCTCCACACAGTGTGTCTAGAGCCGGGAAATGCGGGTGAGCTTCTGGCACACGGACAAGGTTCCAACACATTGGTTAATCAGCAACGAGTTCCCAGAACAGAGCCTTAGACTTTCTCACGTGAAGGTTTGGCTCCAAGGAATGCAGCTTGTCAGGCCCTGCTCATCCCTGAGCATCTGTCCACAGTGTCCCAGGCCCGATTTCCCCTCTGAGTCTGAAGTTTTCTAATTGCCTCCTCTCCATGGCGTCTAGATCTTTGCCCCAGATGCTCCACGCTTCATTTCCAAATCTTTGAGAAAATCCATTTATTTTTGAAGTCTTAATCCTTCTGCTCTTTCGGTGTCATTATTAACTGTCTTGTTCAACTCTGAGTTCATTATCTTAGCCCTGCTAACTGGTTGGAGATTCAGCCAGCCAGGCAAGGCTTCCCAAGCCACTCCTCCAGTCAGTATTAGCTCTGTTGGGGAATATCTTGTGAGGGAGGTGATTGGGTCAGGACTAGAATACACAAAAGAGGACTGGAACTGATCACTCCGTCTGGGGGAAAGATGCTGAACAGGCCCTGTCTCTAGTGGCACCGGGATCTGTTCCTCCTTCCCTGGGTATGAGGAGCTCTACCGACGTCAGTGCAGATAATAAGAAATACCTTCATTCTTGTGTGTTGGGGGAGTGTAGAATGGGGGTTGTATCAGAGCTGAAGAATAAAAGGGAAGTGTAGTGAATCAGAAAGAATAGCATTCAGTGTAATGTCAGAGGATGTCGGTACAATTCCAAGCACAGACACTACATATAAGACCCTGGGCAAATCATTTAATTTCTCAAGGCCTCTATAAAATGAGATAATCTGACTAGAGGACCTCTAAGGTCCTTTCCAGTTTTAAATCTCTGATTCTGTGAGCAGACTAGTTTTCTTTTTGAGGTCATGTTTGTCTATATCTGAGATCCAAATACTAATCATTAACAAAACGGACACAAGTTCTCTGTTTCTCCCAGTAAAGCAGCATCAACTCTCCCGGCTTGGGCCTGGAACCTGTTTCTAGACCCTAAAATCGATGTGACCTGACACGAAAGGGTTGCTTCTTTAAGAATTGCCATAGACTAGCGCAATCTAAGAATTCGGATCAAATTATTCAGACCCTTACATTGTTGCTTGAGGGGTGGGGTGAGGGGTGGGAAGGGAAGCCATTTGGAAGACTTATGTGAACTGATGCAGAGTAAAGTAAGCAGAACCAGGAAAACAGCATGCACAATTACACTGACTATGCATAATGACAATGACCAAGGTTGGTCCTGGAAGAAGAGTTGAGAACATGTACTTTCTTCCCTTCATTCCAGAGGCAGAAGACTATGGATATGGAGTACTATATAAACTGTGAGATACAATAGTTCTTCTGAGTTGCTCCCCCCCCTTTTTTTTTTTTGATCTTTGTTACTATGAATGGTTCCCGGGGAGGGGAGGAAAAAGGAACGTATTTAAAAATTAAGGTGATATGAAAACAAAAGGTATCCATAAAAATAAGGCATCTCTTTTGTTTTTAAGGAAAAATTCCATTTAAAAATCTATCGTATGAGAAAAAAGAGAACCCTCTGATTTATATTGTGCTGGAAAACTAGTGGGAGGTTTTTTTCTTTCTGTCACAGTGTTGGCCCCCGTCATTGTGAACAGGCAAATCCACTGCATGGTGCTTAGCTTAAAAAAAAAATCATCCAATCAGGACTGTGCATAACCTGCGGCAATTAGTCCCAACTTGGGGAAAGGGCTTGAACATCAAAGTGGGTTGCTCTGGCTTCAGCCTCCCTGCTGCCCCAGCTTTCCTCCCCAAGCGAGGCCCCAGGAACACATCCAGGGCCAAGCACTTGTTTCGCCCTCATTAGTCCCTGCTGTGACTGTTCACCGCCCCGAGTAAAGCAGGCTGCCCAGAACCAGACGAGTCGGTCCCATCAAAGGCCCCATGGCTCTCCCAGCACAGTCTGTGAAGGAAGTGGCATTTGTAATCCAGGGATCCGAGTCTGAGCTCTTCCTGATGCACTTTGGCTCAGCTCTGCCCTCCCGAAAAGCACTTCTCCAAAGAGCTCCTCCATGAGAGAAACATCTGGACAGCAGAGTCTCTCCGTGACACCTGACTGTCACACCATTTAAAGAAAAGTGGCCACTACAGGGCTTAACAAGGAAGAAATCACTATCTCCACTCTAAAATCAATAGCAATGGGGAAGATGCTAGGAATACTTGTGTGGCCATGGGCAAGTTATGTAATCTCTACGAGACTGCCTCCTTCATCTGTAAAATGGGGATAATCACTACCTACCTCACAGGAGTGGTTTTGAGGAAAGCACTTTGTAAACCTAAAAGCACTATAGAAATGTGAGTGATTATTACTAGGAAGCTATGATCTGAGATAGCAGATACCAGCCGGACCATAATATCTGCCCTCTTTACGCAGTTAGCTAGCTATGGTAAGTGGCTATTCCCTTCTTGATCACCCAATCCCTTTGAAATCTCACTAGTTAAACTTGGGGCTTATTCTGAGCTTTTCATCCTAAGAGCTCAGGCACTTCAGCCTTTAATCTGCTCCACTCTACAGTGAGGTGGGTGGCCGGTTTTTAGCCCACATGTGGGGTCACGGCAGACTCAGCTGGGCAGGGAGCTAGATCTCTAAGGGAACCAGAGCCAGGCTAAGGACAAATGGAATTGTCTGGGGCCAGGGCCTTCAGCAGAAATGATGGAGGCCACGAAGGTAACCCCTGAGGGTGTGACCCTGAAGTGGGAGGGGACAAGCAGGAGCTACACAAGGGGCACTTTTAGCATTACCTTTGATTAAATTTTAAAAAAATTCAGAAGGGGGCACAAATAAACAGGGTGATTTTGTTATTACCCTGTTAAATTTAATATGTACTTACAAACAAACTCTAATTTCATACATGGAACCATCCACTTTTTTTGTTTTTCTTTGTATATGGGAAGATATGAATTTGTTGATAAGATCATAATCAAAAGGAAAAAATACACCTATTTTCAATGCCAAAAGATTTTCTTTCCCTGATCCATGGTTATTTATTTTGTGATGTCAAACCAAATGTGATACTATGACATCTCAAAGCCTCTGGTGGGAGTTTATTCTTTTAAGAGGTAAGATTTGTGTTCACTGGATGGGAGTGGATGTAATTTTCAAAACTTGCCTGTGCTGCATAAACGTCTTTCCCCCTCTATGCCCTTATGCTGGTCCCTCATATGATAGCAGGAGTCTTGTGTGTGTGCGTATATGTGTGTGCTTGTGTGTGCATGTGTGTGCATGCACATATGTGTATGTATGCACCTGAGTGCATGCATGTGGGTGTGTTTCCACATCCCCTTCTATGTAAGAAAATGTATAGTGTATGACATTTGGGATGGAAACAGAGGGAGGAGGTGCAAATGTGGGTGGTGTGGCATTGGAATCGGAGACAAAATACCTGGGTTCAAATCTGGGTTCTATTACTTCACAGAATCACAGCAGCTTAGAGGTAGAAGGGAGGACAGCCACAGTCTATACCAGCAGCAATGGGAAAACCCCAGGGACACTCCTGTGGCCAAAGGCAGGTCACACATTTTCTTAAATACAAGTTGAACTGGCAGGTTTTGCTGCTGTTTGGTCATAAATGACTCTTCGTGACCCCATTTGGAGTTATCTTGGCAGAGATACTGGAGTGATTCGCCATTTCCTTCTCCAGCTCATTTTACAGATGAGGGAACTGAGGCAAACAGGGTTAAGTGATTTGTCCAGAGACATCTAGTAAGTGTCTGAAGTCAGGTTTGAACTCCCGAAGTTGAGTGTTCCTGACTCCAGTTGGTGCTCTATCCACTGCACCACCTAGATTCCCCTGAAGTGGGAGGTACTCTTACCCCCCAAAAAAATCCCCATCACAACAAACCCAGTAGGTGGTTATCCAGCCTCTACTTGAAAACCTCCAGGAGAAAAGAATCTGTTATCTCCCTCAGCTTTCAGCTTTTGAAAGACTTCTACTTCTCCAAGCTTCAGTTCCTTCATGTGTAAAAATGGGGAAGCTAATACCTGTCCTGCCAATTTCAGAGGGCAGTCACAGGAACAGGGATTTATAACCAGGAGGTACTTTATAGATCATGTAATCCAACTTCTTCATTTTGTAGATGAAGAAACTGAGTCTTGAAAAAATGAAATAACTTGCCCAAGATCACACAACAGTGAATAAGAAGCAGAGATGAGATTTGAACACAAAGCCTTCCAATTACAAATAATTATCTCTCTTCTACGCCATGAAGCTCACTAATAGAGGGGGCGTGCCACATACACATGTAAACATGACTCAAAGCAGACAATGATAAAGGTGCAGGGAAAAGCCCGACTGACTGAGTGCTCCAAGAGAATCTGAAGAGGCATTGCTCACCTGTACCTGGAGGAATCAGAGAAGGTTTCACGAAGGAGGTGGTACCTTTGGAGAACGAAGAAGAAGAAATGCAACACAATGTGAAACATATGGTATTTGGAGTCAGAGAACCTAGGTTCAAATCCCGTCTTTTCTATTTTATTTGTGTGACCTTGGGCAAGTCACTTAACCCCTGTTAGCCTCAGTTTCCTCATCTATAGAACGAAACAGAATAAGTGACTGATGAGATCCCGGATACAAGCCTATGGAAGAGGGATGGAGGAAGGGCATTGCGCTCTTGGGCCCAATCCCCACCTCTATAAAGTCTCCTTGGCCCTTGAACTAGGTCTAAAATGCTCCTTCTGCTTCCTCATTCAGTTGTTAGACTCTCCCCTAAGACTATCATATCCTTGGCCACCCTATTGCATAGAAAGGACTCCTTTACTCATTGCTCCAGATCTTCGGGGTGAAGCAGAGGGGCTGCTACGCTTCTTGTCCCTCCTTGTGGCTTCCAGACTATTCATCCACCACCATCACTCAATAAGTTTCTTTCCTTTGGGATTCAGGCTGTGCAAATATGCACATTCGCAGGGACAGACAGCTGCACACTCCCACATGAAACGACACGTACACAGACACATGACACATAGTACACAGAAACCACCACAGATATGCAACAAGCCACAAGAGCACATATGCACAGGCACGCACGCACACACATACATACTCACGCACACACATGCACGCTGTCCTGCACAGCGTGGAATGGCGGTGTAATCACGCACCTGCCTCTCATTACTGCTCAGCCATAAAAATGTGCTCGGGGCCGTGAAACTTGGCAGTGCCTCCCATGTCAGCTGGGGCTGGTACTGGAGCCGGGTTGTCCCTGGTTCTGCTGCTGCCCCAGGGAGACCATCAGGCTCCTCCATATGACATCAGCTAGCCCCCACCCAACCCTACACACACGCGTGCACACACACACACACACACACACACACACACACACACACACACACCCCACAGCAGGGACTGCTTCATGTGGTGAAGAAGCCTCCTTCTTTGTCTCAGGCTGATACATCCCTTGCTTTATTCAGACCAGGGGAAGGAGGGATACTTCTGGCGGGGGAGGGGGGCGAGGAAATAGGGTGCATACCCAGGAGTATCCTAGAGGTGGTGGGGTTGGAACAGGGTGAAAGTAACAAGAATCTTCCCAGTGACTTTGCAAAGTGCCTGGCACATAGCCGGTGCTTAAGAATGCTTACTGATTGATAGGGACACGTGATCAGCTCTGGAAAGGGCATCCCAAGCTCTTCAGGCATCACAATCATAGAATTACAAAGTCACAGAGTTGTGGAGCTAAGAGGTATCCCTCTTTTCACAATGCCTGAAGAAGGGAATTCATTTTCTCCGGGTGTAACTGCTTACAGCTAGTATATTTAGTAAGCTAGTAAGCTACCCTCCCTCTCTCTCTCACCCCTATGGCCACCTTCTCCTATTGGTGACTTCCTCCATTCAAATGTAATCTCTTTGAGGGCGGGGACTATCTTTTTGCTTTGTGTGAATCTCCAGCACTTAGCACAGTGCCTGGCTCATAGTAAAGGCTTAGTACATTCTTACTGACTTGACTTCACTTAGGTCCCCCTCATCTGATGGTGAAAGCTGGTTTGTGGCCAATGCAGAAACAAGGGAACAATATAGACAGTGCCTACAACATACATGAAAAGATCAGCAAAAGGAAGACCTTTAGAGAAGAGATAATAAAATACACTATATCAGGCAGAGAAACGGAGGAATGCAAGGATGGCTGAGAATATACAATGGCAAACATTGCTTCTGTGGCAGATATCTTAAAACTTTTGTTGATATAATTTAGTTTTACCTCACTTTCTTTCTGGATACATCTTTCTTTCCTCCCCTACCCAGCAAGTCATCTCTTGGAAGAAGACGAAAAAGAAGGTGGAGGAGGAGGAGGAGGAGGAGGAGGAGAGGATGAGGAGAAGAAAGAGGAGGAAGAGGAGGACGAGGAGGAGGAGAAAAGTTAATTCAGCACGAACAATGCATTAATTCAGTCTGGGAATATATGCAGTGTGTCACACTCATAGTCCCCCACCACTGCAAAGAAAGGAGGGAGATGCATTTTCTCATCTCTTCTCTGGGCCGAAGCTCAGTCATTAGAATTACACAGCATTCTGTTTTCTTCTTCCATTCCCATTGGTGTAGTACACCTGTGTGCTGGTTTTCTGGTCTTGATTGCTTCCTTTGCATCAGTTCATCTAAATCTTCCTGTGCTTCTCTGAATTCTTCACATTCGTTATTTTTAGGGCCCAGAGATATTCCATTACATTCATGCACCACAATTTGTTTAGCCATTCTCCTACATTCTTGCTTTTTTTGGCCACAAGAGAGGATTGAAGGGAGGGCTTGGGAAATACATGATTTAAAGACAAAATGTATAAAATATATATTTTTTAAAAAACACTAGTTTATGGCAGAGCAAGCTACCTGAAGCATCTGAGTCCTAGGATACACCTGCCACCACAAGTAAAACATATGCATGCACATACACATATACCCAGTCTTCCTCGAGGGAAGTATGAATGTTATACAGAGGGAAGAAAAGAAACAGTTTGACACGGTGAAAGGGACACTGAGCTGACAGTTTAGAATCACGAATTCTAGTCCTAGCTCTTCTACTGACTATGTGACTTTGAGCAGATTGCTTCATTTCTCTGGGCCTCAGTTTCCACATTTTTAAGATACGGATATTGCAGTGAACTTCTAAGGTCTCTTTCAACTCCTAGGAGAAGTTTGGGTAAAAATGGCCCTAAGTCTGGGGTCTGGATGTTGGGAGGATGGGGTGGAAGGAGTGGAAAGATGGGAGCAAAAAGATCCACATACCCTGTGCATAGCTAATGAGTGTTGGGAATGGAATGGGTTATAGAACCTTGACACAGGAATGAACATCATCATTGACCACCTCCCCAGTACCATGCTAAGTACACTTCTTATACGAAGAAGTGTTAAGACATATATCTTACCTACAATCTAGCTGAGATCACTCAGGGAACAACTAGAGAATAACTAAGTGAAAAACTATGACGTATATGCAGAATGGGAGATCAGAGAAAGGAGGAATTTCCTGGGCACTGGAGTAGACAGAAAGGGCTTGACGGAGGATGGAGGATGGAGGACTTAGGAGTTAGACCTTATAGGACTGGTAGCAATTCTGAGACAGGGCCGGCACCTCCCTTGGGAAACCATACCAAACATCTTAACAGATAAAAGTGATTCTGAAGCGAACAGGCTGCCTCAGGAGCTATAGCCATCCCCCACCACCATTACCACCATTGAAGGTCTTCAAACAAAGGCTGGGTGGCCCTTGTTCTGTATGTTGTAGAGGGGACCCCTATTCAAGTACAGATTAGAATAGATGGCCCTTAAGTTCAGAAAAACTGAATAGAGAACCGGCCCTGGAATCAGGGGGACCCGAGTTCAAATTTGGCCTCAGATACTTACTAGCTGTGTGACTCTGGACAAGCCACTTAACTCGAATTGCCTCCAAAAAATTTTTTTTAATTTTTTTTTAAAAGTTCAGCAAAACTCACCAACATATCACCCGCGTCTGACAGTGTATGTGATGTTCAGTATCTGTGGTCTTCCACTTCTGCTCTTTCTTCTATCACCAAGATCTGAAATCCTCACTTCTGTCTCTCCTGGGAGAGCCTATTATTGACCATGTCATCTTCCTCTGGTAACTGGGGCTCCAAAGACCCCACAGCAGTGATATGAAGAGGAGGGAAGGATTGTCCAGCACGCAGCCTTAAGAGCTCTGTGGTTGACATAGGTGAGCAGGACTTCCCTCTTCCTATGAGCTTCTCTATAGACAAGGCAGGAAAGCAGCCCCCTCCAGTCCCCTGGGGCCAAGAGCTTCTAAACCTGTGTCTGCTGCTTCTGTGAGGGAACCAGGGCCTCCAGTACAATGCTTGCCTGTTTTCTTCCTGTGATGAACAACATCTGAATGGGTTTCCTCGATGGGAAAGGATTTAAATACGAAAATAAATAAAACTGGAAAGTGCCTCCTGCTGACAAGCTGAGGGCTCTCCTGGCCTGCCTTGCTTTCCCACCACTCACCTCCCCCAACTTGCTCAGTAAAAGGGGAGTGCAGAGCCAGGGTGGCCTGCTCTGCCTTTATAAGCCCCCAGACCATACTTACTCATCCACAAGCCCGCACCAGAGTCATGCTGACTGAAGTAACAATGACTAGAGCAACAGTAACCAGGGTACCACAAACGAGGGTAACACGGACCAGGGGCATGATGGCTGAAGCAACACTGTTCAATTCAATTCAATTCAATTCAATCCAACAAGCATGTATTGAGTGACTTCTAGATGCACTGCGCTAGGCATTGGGGGTACAAAGATAAAAACGAAAATAGTCTATGCACTCAAGGCATTTATATTTGGGAAGACAGAGAAACAACATGTATAACGATAAGTTAATGCATAATAGCTCTAAATAATAAAGATAATAAATAATAAAATATAATGTATAAATATAAATATAACGTAAAAATAATAAATAATAAAGATAAGTTACTGTATAATAGCTGTAAAGTAAACAAAGTGATTTGATTGGGGGGCAGGGAAGCAAAGGTGAACTGGGAGGACCAGGAAAGGCCTTGTGTAGGAGGTGAGTTTGCCCTAAACCTGGAAGAGTGCAAAAGATACCAATAAGCAGAGGAGAGAAGTGACAGAATTCCAGGCGTAAGGAACAGCCTGGGCAAAAGCGCAGAGGTGGGAGACAGAACATTGTGTGCCAGGAAGAGCATGTGGACTTCTTACTAAACAGATAATACTGAAAACAGGATAAAACTCAATGCAGTTACACCGACCAGGCTAACATTGACTAAAGGAAACTACTGATTGGGGTAGTCAGAGCTTCAGTGTCAGATCTTTGACACTATGTTGCTTATAATAAGCACTTAACAAATATTTATTGAACGTTTTTTGAATTGAATTATAGCAGACTGAAGTCAATAAGTGCCTAGGGAGCCAACTACAGCCACCATGGACCATTTTACCCTTAGGGAGGAATCACTGAGGAGAGCAGAGACAAAGACATAAGATCATGGGATAGCAAATTTAAAGTTAAAAGGACCTTAGAGTTCACCTTGTCCAATACCCTCATTTTATATGCTAACAAAAAAAAAAAAAAGATAGTAGATGGAGTACTAGGCTTGGAGTCAGAAAGACTTGCGTTCAAGTCTGGCCTCAAATACTTACTAACTGTGTGACCCTGGGCAAGTCACTTACTCTTTGTTTGCCTCAGTTTCCTCATCTGTAAAATGGGGGTGATAATAATAGACTTTACCTCCTAGGGTTGTTGTAAGGATCAAATTAGATAATGATTTTAAGGCACTTAGCACAGCAGCTGGCTCATAGTAAGTGCTATATAAATGTTCGTCGTTATTATTACTTTCCCCAAGCTCACACAGGGACAAAATGATGAAACCATAATTTGAGCCCAAGTCCTCTGAATTCAAATCTAGCACTGCATCACAAGGACCAAGCTCAGACTTAAGAATCTGGCCATTGAAGGGATGATGCAAAGCCAAAGTCCTCACCCAAGCTTCTCATTAGCCACCAGGGCAGGGAAGCTGTTGCCTCCAGACACTAGGTATGTGAGGCACAATGCCCAAGTCTCTGGAGCCACGGAAAGGACCCTGAGGGATACAGGAATACCAGGGAGTCTGGGTGCCCAGACTGTCCACTGGGTGTTCCCCACCTTGGCCAGCCTCTGAGCCCTGCCGCACACCACACCCAGCTCCTCCCTCCCCAGTGAACCCAATCACTGGGTAGAACCTAAGTAAAACACAGTGTCTACGGGGAGACAGAAGCAGGGTGGGGAGGGATCTTTGGCAAAATCCAGAGCACGTGCATTCAGTTCCCTACCCTCCCCCTTCTCCCCCCCCTCCCCCCTGCTCCATACTTGGCCCAAGCTCCCATTCAGGGCTTTAGCCCAGACCACACGTAAGGAGAGGGAAGAGGGAGGGGGAGAGGCGCCAGTTGTCTGACCTGGGCACTGTGGGGTGGAGCAAGCTAGGAACATTGCCCCCGTAGGCATTGTTGTATTTGGTTGTCTGTTTTCAGAGAAGCCGTCGATATCGTGCTTCCCATTGCTCACCCTTGGGAGGGGTGCAATTTACTCCCTGGGTTTCATTATAGGGGTAACTGGGGGCTGGTGGGAGTAAGGCCCCCAAACTCACTAGAGACCTTAACTGAGTCACTCTGAGAAGATACTGAGAAAGCTGGTAGAGGGATGTGGGGCCTGAGAATAATGGCCCAGTGGGGAGAAGGAGGGGGAGCAGTGGGAGAGAGGGGGGCAAGAGGTGGAGGGGAGAGGGGGTAGCTGTCAGAACAATGGCCCCGGACCTGAGAGACTTGAGTCGACTCATTCCTGTCATCAAACTTTCCAGTCACCTGCTCAGAAACCTGAGGGAAAGATTAGGGAGCCAAACACATATTGTTTCTTTTGTTTGAGGTGCCAAGTTTGGTGGAGATGAATTGGCCATCTGTTCAACTCCCAGCAACAATCTGGCAAGCCGTAAACCTCCTCTTTATAAGTTGCCACTTTCCATCAGTGCTAACCAAAGTCAGGGGGAATTACTCTTTCCTCCCTAGTCAATGGCCATCCTACCATCATGGGCCTCAGCCCTCCACTTCTCCCCTGATGGCTCAGGAAGCCACTGGGCACAAACGGACAGAGAACCATAGACCCAGGACTGGCCTCCATTGGCAGCTAGTGATTAAAGACCTGGGTGGGTAATCTATGGGACGGTAAATCTAGAACCTAAGTGGAACCAACTGTGGGTCTGTTAAGCTGATCCAGGATTCTAAAGAGCTAAAGTCGGTAGGAACCTGAGAGACCATCTTTTCTAATTTCTTCCCTTTACAGAGGAAGAAACGGAGGCTCTGAAGTGACTTATCTATAGAAGTTAGTGACACAGCCAAGACAAAGACCCATCTCCTTCACTCTCACTCCAGTGTTCTTTCTTCTGCACTATGGTTCTTCCCTGTTAAGTCTCCCGTTGTTGAGGACTAAGCTAAGAAATTCCAAGGTCCCCATCCTCTCAGATCGTTTAAGTTCTGCACTCAGATTTGAGAACAGAGAGGATGTATTAAAGGGACAAAATAGGCATCGTGGGCAGGGAGTGGCGGGTAGTTGGCATTGTCATCATTGTCATTGTTTTTGTTGTTGTTTTATTCAAGTAGAAAGAAAATACTGGGGCTGGGGATCAGAACTCCAGTGGCAGGCCTCCTGAGGATGGGTCTAGCCAGCTCTGAGGAGAGCGTCTCCCTCCTTGAGCTCTACAAAGCTAGATAGATATCTGGCATCCTAATATTTGCCTGGTGTTTCAAGTTGGGCAGCTACCCTCTGGAACTGAATAACAAAAAGAGACAAAGGAATGGAAGGGCAAATCAAAGCCCAGATGTACCAGGAGCTCTTAAGATGTTAGTCACAAGGGTGGGGAACCTACGGCCTGGAGGCCACGCGTGGCCCTCTTGGTCCTCAGGTGTGGCCCTTTGACTGAATCCAAACTTCACAGAATGAATCCCCTTCATAAAAGGATTTGTCCTGTAAAATTTGGACTCAGTCAAAAGGCACCCAAGGACCTTGAAGGCCACCTGTGGCCTTGAGGCGGCAGGTTCCCCACCCTGTGGTAGAGCAGAGGTCTCCACAAAGTCTCAGAGCTGACTCAGCTTGTTTTAGAGAAAAGACAGTGCCTAAGCCCTGACACTGGGTATTGGGGATGGAAACTCACCCTGGTGGTCAGGGTCACTTAGGGCAACCCTATTGGGGGGGGGGTGTGCTCACAGCTGCCTGGTGAAGCTGCTTCCCTTCCCGAATCTGATTTATGCCGTGCAGACGCAGGAGCCCAGCCAAGCTGCAAACAATCAAAAACTGTGTAGAAAGCTTAACTTGCTTTTCAAGATGCCTGATTTATGCTGAGTTAATGGTGTCAACAGCACAAGGCCAGAGTTTGCTGCTGAAGAGTCAGAGGATGGCAAATCCCATCCCTTCTACCCATGGCGTTTCTCTTACCAAGGAAAGTCAGTGCCCCTTTGACAAATTTCCAGGTCTTTGTGACCTGGAAAAAGCCTGTCTGAGGGGACTCAGTCATTTTGCTTCATAGACCAGCTCCAGCAACCTCAACTGGGCCTTGGCAGGGAGCCAGGGTCCGTGTCTACACTCACTCCCCACTCTCAGACAGACTCATTGCTGGCAGGTAACTAAATCCAGTAATTATTCCCAGTAACATTGACTGCCCCCCCTTTTCCCCTCATGTCTGCTATTCTCTATCCAAACTGATTACAACCTCACAGAAACTAGGTTTGGGGGAGGGATGGGAGCAGAGGACTTAGGAGACTTGAAAGAAAATGTAAAACACACGTTTGCTGCTTTGACGCATGTAACCCAATGCCCCTCCATCCGTGTGGGCCATCCTTCTTCCCTTCCCTGAGGAGAATCAGGGGTCTCTGCCCCACACCAGCTCACCTGCAGCCCCCTTTCTGCCCCTTGTCTCACATCCCCCTGGGAGAGGCAGCATGTTAAGTCACCAACACCTAGAGAGATGAGACAGGAAGAAATGGCATGAGATGGGATTCTGGGCTGCAGTTTTGAGGGCAACTGGGGTAGAGGCCCAGGAGGCAGTGGGCAGCCCGAGGTCTGGGGATGTGGC